ATATCAAATGGCCCAATGTGCGACGTTCTAAACCCCGAAAAACTCCCTAGTTTGAAAATTCGAAAAAAATGTGCCGGTCGGGCACTGAGTAACGATTTGAAGCAAGTCAATCAACTACTAACAAGATTGAATCATCAATTTCTAATGTCGGATTGTACGTAATTGTGGCGAAAAACAAACACGTGAAATTGAACATTTACGTCACAGTCAAGATAGTTGCCCAGTTGAAAAATACAATAATACACTTTTTTGATAAAGACGTTTCTTTTCGCTTCGAGTTATCGCTTTCCTTTTGTGATGGCGTCAACCAATTTCCACCAACCTCGTGTCTGTTACTCGAGGGAAAAGTGGAAACGTATGGAAGATCAGCGAAACACGCCCAAGCATGGCTCGGGAAATATAAAATCATTTATTTCGCAGCGGAAAACTTTCAAAGCAGGGTTCAGTAAAAAATCGAGATAGGTGACGGGAATACRACGATCAGTGAMAATKTATGCAAGTTTTTTCCTGCAGTTTTCTAATTCTTTATTCTGCTGGTTCCAAATGTTTACAGCGAATTTACTCAATAATGGAGAATTGACTTCAGCCATGGAGAATCACTAATGAAGATGTTGCCATCTGGTTTCAGATATTACACATTTTACGAATGCATCGCGAGGAACGCATTGGGAGAGGCTTCAATTAAAATCCAATTGAAGCAGGGTTTCGTTCCGGGACATATTGGACAAGTCAGGCCCAATACGGTCACAGCAACCACCATTAAATTCTCCATTGTGCCCCCCAGTAACTACGACGGATTGCCAATTCGATCCTACAGTGTACAGTATAAGCCCGAAAGGCAACCGAGCTGGGAAAATGCTCTGCAACACACTTGGAGCAACGGTAAGCCGAGTTCATTTTGTTTGCTTGCCGCAACAAGCTGGAAAGAGTCTTAAATAGTCGCCTTGTCGTCCTCCGAGACGGTCCAGCCAAATTAAATTCCGTTGATTATACCAAATGCTTCAACACTCTTGACCTAAATATCTGGAGAATATTCACAGCAACATTATCTAAGCTTCACTGAAAATATGCCAACTTTTCTCCTTTTCTGGTTTTCCGACTAGTTGCAATATACAAGGTGTCCCACTACAGGGTGTCCTGTAGGTGTCACTGTCACTTTAAGATTAACAAATTTTTCGCGTTTTTCAGAAGTTTTTATCTGTTTTCTGGAAACCGATAAATTATTGCTCCCACTACCGATGGTACCGCTGCAAAACGTCAAATTACTCGTTGTCGAGTGACAGTTGAGCTTGACGTTGAGTAATTTGACGTTGAACTCGCGGCAGTTTGTCAGTTTGACAACTGACCGTCAGGAAATCAAATATGGCGACAGTTCAGAAAATTAATGTCAATTTAGACAATTATCCGTGTCAGTAGACTTTTTTTTATACAGGGCGTCCCACCGGGAACCGCCGCAATTGATATCTGACAAACTGTATTTAGGAGAAATTTGAAAATTGGACAGTGTGCCAAGGTCATTGGGGGCAAGCGGTCTAAAATATTTTCAAAATGGCCACCCTTCCGGTTATACCGGAAGTAGGTATCAACTTGCTTATTTTAAATGGAACACCCTATATATTAATTGAATTCTGCTCCAAATTCTAAATGTAATTCATATATAATATCCTATCCCTAAGTCGAACCGTTTTTGAGATATTTGAAATTTTATGTAAAAAATGACAGTTGCAGCCAATCGAATAATTATTCATTTTTTCTATAAGGGAGTTTGTCATACTTAATTTGGGTCGCATTTACTGTTGAAAAGGACCTCCTTTAATGAAATTTCGAAAACATTTTGAAAACTATTAATACAGTGTTAAAAAAAATAATTTCAAAATACAGTTGAGAAAACCGCCCAAAATTAATTTTTTCAAATGGAAACCCTCATTTTTGATAATTTTATCATATTCAGTATTAAAAATAAGGGTAAGTTTGTGAAACGATGTCTATTCCAAAAGCGTTTAGTTTTCGAAATATTGCCAATTTAATGTTTTCCTATGGCTATTT